TTTTGCTACCAATTGCAAAAAATTGCTTGGTGAAGAATCTTGTGTGGCTCCTGCATTCAGGGAATAGTGAAGGAATGACTTGTTGAGCTTTCTGGCTGATAATGTGTGGATTACAGCCTGTAAGGAGTATACACCCTGCTGGGAAGGTACTGGCTGTGTTGATATGGCTGGGATAGAGCTCACTGTTAACTATGGGTGCATGAGCAAGAGGAAGAATGTGAAATCTGAGGGATGTCAAGTACAACTTGTTCTTCCTGACAACAGTTCAATGGTGGCCTGTTATGCCCTGGCATATATACCTCTGAAGTCACTTATAGTTGTCCAGGCCTTTGTCCTTGGGGACTGCTACCTGACAACAGGTGATATGTTCTTTATGCCAGCTCAGGGTACTTTTTTGACAGCCTTATTCTAATATTTACAGATATTAGCAGTTTAACAGAGTACCTACTTCAGATGCGGGTGTGGGGTGGCTTGCTGCTTGGACGTTTCAGTGGGGCTTGGCTGGCTAGGAGCCCGGCCTTGAGCAGGAGGTCTAGGCTGCTGTGGAGGAAACACGCCTGCCTTGGAAGCCTGGACTGGAGAGGACCCAGTTGCTGATCGGACTTGCTGTGGAGATCCAGGTGACCTTTGCTGCTGAGGTGAAGTGGACTGGGGACTCTGGGGCTGCTGTCCTTGAGGAGAGAGCCGCTGCTGTGGAGGTGCGTTTGTCCGCGGAGGCTGAGATCCCTGAGGCTGGCGTGGTCCACCTGAAAGGGACATGTAGACATAAACATGAGGAAGCGCGTGTGGGGACAACAAGCAAGGAGCATCTGTATGGAAGAATGGGTCTTGCTAAGGGGAGAGGCTATTCAGAGCAGCTTCATGCAGAAGGATAAGGGAAAACCTCTTTTATAGGCCTGACACTGGTGTCATGCCCACGTCTGTAGAGTTGTGGTCCATTTCTCTACCTCATTCAGCACTAAAGGAGCTCTGCCACTCTCCCCAAAGGAGGTCACTTCAATGTGCTGTACTCTTCCATGTAACTAATATTTCTTATCCTTGGCAAGAACTTCATGTGTTAGGAAGGAAGAGTCACTGGAGAACCAATTCTCTGCAGGAAATGAGAGCTGAATGTGCTGGTTTGGGTCAGCAGTCCCTTCATGGGCCCAGCAGTCTGACGTGAGACTGTGCACCCTATCGCTATCTGTATATCTGTTCCAGTATTATCAGCAGGTGGCTTCAGCCGTATTGGTAGCAGACTCTGAAAACTGAAGAGGATGTGGAAAATAATTGGATGTGACATGAGAAATTGCTGGACATAACAGATAACAGTGTGAGAAGCTGACAAAAGTTAGATAGTGTTGTGAGGGCTGGCTGGATTTTGCAGGTGGTCAAGGGGGAGTTATGTGAGGAAAAACCTTCACAGAGAATTGAAGGAGAGTACTGGAGACAGTAGTATCCTGCAAGGCTAGCAATTCCTAGGTCTTGTCAGTAATAGCATATAACGCCAAGATTACATAGGTGCCTTTGGTATCGGAAATACCAAATTTTAGATACAGCAAAACTGTGACTGATGAGGAAAAGGTAATTAGAGGTGGGTGTTAATTTGGTAGGAGATTATGGTGGAGAAATGAAAGGACAGAGGTGACAAAGGGAGGGTCTAATTGGTTGTGTAAATTGAGTGGTTGGTGTGGTCTGGGTACCCACAGGGCAGCCCTGTGCTTCATCACCTCAGCGTAAATCAGGACAATAAACCAAATCTGTTGTTCTGACCAACCACATAAGTCAAATCTGCTTCTGCTGTCAGGAGGAGTTGGGGGTGTGCTCTTGCTGACAGAGGAACACCTGGCCAGATGGATCAAGGATCCTGGCATCACCATGTTGGTGTCTGTTCCAAGCCTGATAGCATCAGCATCTTCCCATCACTTCTCAACACTTGTAGCCACTACTGCGTTGTGCAAACACAAATACACTCTGTGCCCAGAATCCTGCTCCCATGCCAGTTCAAGTGGCCTCACTTTGCTGAGCCAAGTCCTACCAACAGTGTCAACTGGATATGTATCAAAGTTTCACCCCGCTTTCTGAGCTGCTGTGGAATATGATAGCAGCTGCTTTAACAGCACACTGAATTTGCTGCCTGCTTGTCAGTGAATTGGAACAATGAGTGAAACTTTCATCCCAGTAGCTTTTATTTAGAAGGAAAACTGGTATGTCTCAGTCCACACTGTCATGGGGCCTGAAGAACTGTACCTTGGGGAGGAGGTCGCGGTTGGGACAGTTGTCCAAGCTGAGGTCCAGTCTGAGATTTCATTGATGCAGGTTGAACTTGTGGAGGCTAGAGGAGAAAAAAGCCATTCCAGTTAATACAGAGTCCCCAAAGAGAAGCCCTGAGGTGATATAGGAACTGCAGAGTCATGAAGTGTTCCTTAAATACACACACAGACAGTCCCATGAGATTTTACCACCAGATGCTAAGATGGAGAGCTCAGTAATAAAGAGCACAGAAGTTGTTTGCTCACAGGGAATAACAATGAAGTTACAATTTAGAATGTTTTTTAGGCAATCAGGAATTACTAAATGTCTCTTAGTCCCATCTCCCATTTTGGACAGTTGCCAGCACCAGATGTTCCAAAAGAAGGAGGGATGAACCATGGAAACATCTATGGAGTAATCATCTCTTTACCCTAAGGGGTCTCCTCTTGATTGCTAATAAGCAAGACCCAGCTTAAACTGTGAAACATGAAGCTTACTATCTGCTCCACAAAATCTTTCCAACAGTTCCAGATAGTTTGTTTTGATATTTACACCCAGACCCTTTGAGTCTTGCTCAGCTCTCAGCCTCACTGCTTTTCCCATTTCTTGACTCCATTGCTTTGTTGTGACTTTTGAGAATAGTTCTCACAACCTGCCCTTGTTAGACCATTATTTTGCAAACCTTTACTGCCCTCTCTCTCATTCACCTCCTTTCTAAAGCCAAGAGACTGAATCCCTTCGGTCCCTCCATGGGAATGTTTCCAGGCCCCTAATTGTTTTCATCACCCACTTCTCTTTCCCAGCTTTGTGATTCCTTCTGCAGATGCCAGAGGCAGGTCTGCTTACATTATTCCAGATGCAGCAGTATCTGGGTTCTCTGTATACGTCACCAGCTCATTTCTTCTGCATCCTAATTTCCTGCTTCTCCCTTGTCAACACAACCATAGGCTGAGCGATGGTTTTCATTAGCTTGTATGTGACAGTGTCTTTCTCAAGGGACATGGCTAGCGCCACTTGCAAGGTCTACAGATTGTTTATGTTCTCCCTCTCTCTACCCCCAGCGTAGCTTACCTTTCAATCTTCCATATGGAGTTTCATTTGCTGTTGTGGTGGCTTAACATACATAGCTCTGTCACATGTTCTTCACTGCCATCCCTGGTCCTGACTAATGCAAATAAGTTGGTGCCATCTGCACTTTCTTCTCTCTCACTGTTTACTCTTTTTGACAGATATTTTAATAAACAGATTAAGCAACACAGAACTGTTGCACAAAGGGCCGGTCCAAGGTTAACAAAAGTCTGAGTAAGCCTATTGCACAAAATTGTTTATGAAAGCAGGGGAAGCTAGAGACAGATAGGCCAGTACATGCTGGATTATTTATATGGAGAACACAGCGATAAAAGGATCTTCAAGGCTCCTGGAAGGTCAGGAGAATGAGCTAAGTGATTCTGGAAATGGGAAGAAATGTTTCATAGTTGGAAGCATTGAAACAAATTTCAGCTGACTAACATAAATGTGATGAGATTGCCAGCCCATCTTTTACACTGTTTTTCTGGGACTTCCCAAATGGACAGGGAGGAAAATCTGGGAATTTTCTATTCATGGCTTCCAGTCCTACAGAGCTTGGGACACCAAACCTTCCCTTGGTGTTGGTGGAAATCTACTATCTTAATGCTGTGAGACATCCTGGTTAGACTGGGCAAAGAAATGGAATCAGGTCTCATATTCACTTCTATGGCCTTTGCCTACAGCCAACCCAAGGCTTCTCAGCGATGAAGGCAAAACAGGATCTTGAGGCTCAGAGATGAAGGGGTGAGGGCCATCCCAAGGTCTTCTGCCTTTGGAAGGGAAACAGTGATGGGAAGGGATGGAGGTGGGGCAGAGAGGTGAGGAGGTTTCATGTTATAGCCATGAAAAAAAGGCTGTCATTAACATCTTACCCTGTCCTGGGCTCAGCTAACCCAATTATCAACATGACCAGGCTTACCATTCTTTACATATCCCATCTGTTAACTGTTTGCAAGAATTAAAATCTCTCATATCTATGTCTTTATCTGAGGCCAGCTTCTGCTCCAAAATGAAACTTTGCCTTTAGCTCCTCCCTGCTTGCTTTCTTTAATAGTACTCGTCTGTTACCTTGCCTGAGGCTTTTTGACAGTCTAGCTACGTTATTTTGACTGATTGCCTGTTATCTACCACTTTATGAAAGAATTCTCAAAGAATTGATGGGAAAAGAATCAAAAAGGAAATTAATGGGATATTTTTCTTTGAAAAAAAATATGGTAGATGATCTTAAGCCATGGTTCCATTGGTTTATTAGTCTTCTGTATTATTCTTTAAATTATTGTCTGAGATAATTCGTAAGGTCCATGACTCTTACAACTTTTTAAACACATATTTTGTATTTGTTGTACACCAATCCTCTGGAGCAAAAACTGTTTCTAATGAAATTGCACATTTTTTCTTGGCAGCTTAGTCACTTCCTAAATTCCGTTCATTGGATGTAGCCACCTGGGTCTGGGGGCTTAATAATTTTTTAATATATCAGTCATCACTGATATAATCACTGGTTTTGCTCTCACTGCTGTCTTTCTTATCAGGAAAAACTATATCTAGTTTAAAAAGTTTCCCGCTTTCAGCAATTAAATTTACTAGAGTTACAACACTGTCCCTGTTGTCTTCCTTTTCTCCCTTAACTTTGGATGAATGATAGAGCCCACCAATTGTTTGGTAGCGTTCCATCTTCTGATGAACTCAAAGAATTTGCTTCGTTCTTCCGTCTATCTGTTCTTCAAAATCAATTTCTATCCTTTTTACGTTTCCTTTTATTACTTGCATGGTGGTGCATAAAGTGTTAATGTCAGATTTCCAAATTTGGAAGATTTTTTTTCTGTATGTCTTGAATGTCCTCTCTCTCTTTACCACTTAACTCTAGAAGTTTATTTCTTGCATTCCTGGTTCAGGAGCAGATCAGAAATGCATATATGCATTCTGGAAAACAATGTTCTCTCAAATAATGTCCATACAGCTTTACTTTTAATGGTAGGGAGTTGATTAATTTTCTCATTTTATTAAAATAATCTTTTCTAACTGTTTGTATCATAGAATCATAGAATCATAGAATCGTTTAGGTTGG